AGATCTGATTGCTGTCTAATGTAAACCAAATAACTGGTTCCACAAAGGGGGTACTAGAATTGGAGGCTGTCTCAGTTTTGTCTTCTAATCACTAGGCACCCTCTCAGGCAGTGTTTTCTTTAGCTTTGTTTGACCGAAAAAAAAAAAAAAGAGGCTGTATCTGCTTAAATTAGATGGTAGGTTGGCGTTTAGAGCACTTTATGGGAATATATATGATATGCGGACTCAAACTGGTCCATCTTACGAGGATCTAAATTCCAGATGTTCCACTTTCTGAGCAAATACCGTAACTATCAGCTTGTTATGAAAAAGGAGGCTGATGGCTTTTCCCTCTCTGTCCCAGTATCTCCACAAGTTTCCAACTGCTAACAGTTGTTGAATGCTGTCTGTGCGCATAAATATGTAATACAAATGCAACCTCTACAGAGACTGCTTGTTGTCTCCTAATTGCTTCGTGTCTTATACTGCCTGAAAATGTAGTTCTCTGGCTTTTAGCTACATAAGCAAGTGGTTTTGTTACTGCTTCTGAGGGCAGATGAGGTGGTTGTATCACCTTCTGGAATTTAACATCTATTATGCTCAAGTGATAGGCATTTTGGACTGAGATTACATGTCTTTTAGCTCTGTGGTTCCATAGAGTAGAATCTGAGCCAGATGCTTCATATAAATAAGGGAATTATCTGTATGCCTGTACTGGAATACTAGAGTATTGCAGGGTTACAGAAGTACAGCTCAGCTAATGTAGGTGTACCTTTATTCCAGACAGGCAGGTCTAGATTTCTAGATTAGGATTTATATTGGAATAAATCTGGAAGTAATTACTTGATTTTTAATCTCGTTCTACAGCTGTACTTTATAGTTGTTTTCTTTTCCTCCTGTAGGAAAACACACACTTACTGACTGCTACAAATCAACATTTTATGCAAAGTTAACAGCTGTTCTACTGAAGTCAGCATAACTTTTGGTTACAAAGCTAGTTCATTTTCCCAAATGGAAAATGTTGTTCTTTCTTACTAGATGATTGGGTATTTTAATCTTTTTTTTTCTTTCTTTAATTCCTGCTATGTATGTGTCAAGTTGTATTCAGGTAGAGATAAAACATGCAAAACCATCTCCAAGGTTTTTCTTTTTTTTAGGTTGAAACAACCTTTTCAGTATGGTTTCTTCTGGAAGTCTATTGAAACGTGTTTTATTGCCACAACTTCTATTAAAGGAAGTAACAACAAACTACTGATCTCCTTGGGTCAGATTTTTCAGAAGTATGCAGTTGCCTATAGATGCAGAGATGGTTAATATTGAGTGGTATCAGTGTAGTAGCTTGCATGACTGAGCCCTTGAATATCAGAGAGTTGGGAATAGACCTATTTTGTGTTTCAGAACCTTATGGTATGGATTTTGGTAGACTTATAGATGTCTTTCAAGCTTGTAGGATTACCGGCTCTCATACTTTTCTACCTTTGTGTGGAAAAGTTTATTCATACACTTGAAGTTGCTTCCCCGCTTTTTCAGTTCTTAACCAGACTTTCAGCTAACTCATCTGACGTAATCTAAATGAAGAAAATATTCTTTCCATGTCTGCTTCTTTAAACCAAATGGGGAGAATTTGAGGCAAAATCTTTTTCTAACGATAGAAACTAGAAGTATGGATATGTTGCAAATGCTTGGTTGGGTAAAATACGCATCTGAAAATACTTGATTCATTACACAGGAAGATGCTTCCCTTGGTTCCATGTGAATAAAAGGCAGCATTTTATGGCTTTACTATTTAGGTCTCAGTCCCATCCCCCTTAATTTTACTTTATAAAGGCATATTTCCTAAGAAAAATGTATTTAATTTAACATATACTGTATGTTTTTAATTTTCAAAAGATTCCACTAATTGAAAAGTTGTTTAGTAAGAGTAATTTTTAAAGGCTCTCTAATGTTGTATGCTAAAATTTGAAAGGTGGTTAAACCACAAGAAAGCACTCCAACTGCTTTATAGAAAAAAGAAAATAAATAAAATAGAGCACTGTATTATGCAGTTGTTTCTGTAATTAGGAATATGTTGTGTTGTGTTAAAATTTCATTTAATTTTCTTCTAATTGTAGTTAATGATGAAGAACTAAAGAAAAGAATAGCAGAAGAACTGGCATTAGAACGAGCCAGGAGAGACTCTGAAGCTCAAAAGAGAAGGTTGGTTTGTTAATAACAATATTTAACACAAACATGTAGTGAATGCTTTTATTACTGTTGTTTATCTGCTTGCTATAAACAGTTGAATTTTGTGCCCCAAGACAAAATGGTAGGTAAGACCTTTGGGCAATATAGCAAGTTTTGATATTAAATACATCTTAAAACAACCAATTAACTGAAATTTCCTTGTAAGACCTGATACAAAATGTTGATCTAAATCCCTTTTGACCTCATGAGCCTGAATCTTTTTTGCAGTCTTTTAAGCTCAATCTTTGTTGATTTCTCTTGAGTCCCAATATTCACTTTGTGGTGCGGAGATAGAAATAGCTTGAGAGCAATGCAGAGGTGGGTTACGTATAATCCCTTCTGTTTGATCAAAAGGTAAATTTCAACAGCAGTAGAAATGGTAATTCTTGTTATTTCTTGAATTTTGGATATTTCTTTGAGCTGCAGTATGTTTTGAACTGCTTTAATAGTTAGTACAGCATAATGCCTTGAAGATACACAGTACTGTATTAAACCAGTTTACTAGTAGAAAACCCTTTTGATAAGCTTTCTGTATATTGAAACAGTGCTTTCTTATGCATGTTTTTTCAGAGACTGTAGTTACTGTGAAAGACTGGATAGAATTGTACAGAGAGCGGTGACAGACTTTAGATGTAGCATTTTAAAAATATACTCTGCAATGTTTAGTATGATACTGTAGGGTTATTGACAATTAAAAAAAAAATCCTGCTTGAATTTGAAGTGGAGTTTGGCTGTATGGTGAACTCGGTGGACTTGTGTGTTCTTTTGTACTTTCAGTGATTTTCCTAAATAGATAATATAACACACTGAATATAAATATTAACCTACACATTGTCCTCCATTCTGAGAATGGGAAGAAAGGCTCATTATGATGGATTAAAAAAATTAGAATGTAATTAGTACTACTTAAACTGTCTGCATATATATCAGTTGTTTCCTACACATCATTATATTATTATTTAATTGAGTTAGGTTGATGGAGTATATAATTAGATGGGACTATATAAATGTCCCAGAAAAATAATCAGGCTTTTTTTTTTTTGAATCAGCAATAAAGGAAATCAATATGTGACAGTGAAATCTCTCCTTTTCTGAACTGGGCTCTGAGAGGAAAACTTGTGTTACATCTGAGCTTAATGTTGACTGCTCAAGAGATCAACTAAACGTGATTACAATATGGAAATGTTTGTTTTGTAACTTCAGTATTTTGTCATTTGACACTTTTCGGTAACTTTCATTAAGTATTCCGTAATTCAGTTTTCATGGGTTGTGCATAGGTCTGTGAAAGGTAGGGAGCAGATTGGCTTGTCATATACCTGATTTTATATTTTGTAGGGAACAATGCTGGCAGCCTTCCCTTTATTTGACTAAGGATTAGTGAAGAAGATGTTACATAGTAAAAGGCTCCTGTAAAATCTTTTTGTTGTCTTAAAATTAGGTGGAAGAATCAGTGCTTTTGAAATGTAAGCTGTCAAAATAAATAAGTAATAATAACAACAAAGTATAAAATTACAAATATCAAGTCCTGTTAGCAGCTTTAATCCTCTTCTAGTTTGTGTTTTGTTTCTTTTTTAAGCAATAAGCAAGGATTTTTTTTATTACACTTTCTACACAATATAAACAATTATAAAAATACATTTTAAACAGAGTGTAGAGGCTCTTTTCATGTTGGATGAAACAACTTGAAAAGATGCAGATGTTTACTTAGCTATTACTTAAGGTCTTTATGGGCTGAATTCTGGTTGAGGTTTGTGTTTTAAAAACATTCAAGAAATGCTGTAGCAAATGTGGAGCTGTTCTCTGGATTGTGTTCTTCTGAGAATGAAGTGAACACTGCTCTGTTGATCACTTTCAGAACAGGTTTATGTTGTTCAGGTTCAGCATACCTACCCCTCCTGTTTTATTCTAGTCGAGAAAGCAATCTCTCCACAATACAGGGGCATGAGCATTGTTTGTGCAATGTTCTTTTTCATGTCAGGATCCATACTTTCAGGAGAAAAAACTGCAGTCTTCTGTACAAGCTCCTGTGCCAGTTTCTGGACACTCATGCACTTACAGAGTTGGTATAATTTTTCAGCATTACTGGACTTCAATTTTCAAGCAAGTACGTACTTAAGAGCTAGATGCACATTGTTCAGATAAAGTATTTTATGTCTTGCATATCTAGTGCAGAGTGTTATAAGTAACATAAACACGAAAAGGAAAACTTTACTCTCAAATGTAGTTATTTTTAATAAACATACAAACACATTGATGTAAGGTTGGAAAGCAGAACAAAACCCGAGTTCCCACCTATACCATGCTTAAAACATGTAACAGAAGGAAACTGTTAACAGAGAACAGTTTATAGTATTCATATGTCAATAGTTGCACAAGAAAAAAATACAGTGTAATGCAGGCTTCATAACTTATACGGAGGGATGTAGTTTACAAATGCATCCTTGGTGCTGTCCAAGGCCAGTTGGACTGAAGCGTGATGGTGTCTCATGTCTGTGAATAGCAATGTGCACAAACCCCACTGAAGAGCCAAAATTGATTCTAGTTTACTCCTTCTTTTACTCAGACCAACTGTTGTTTCTCACTTTGGTTTCTGAACATTTGAAATGTTTAATCTTAAAAGTATTTTCATTTAGAAAAGTTAAATGGATTATTATTTGATTGCAACAGAATTTGCAGTGACTGCATTAGTGAATGTGACCAGTTAATGTGCCAGAGCTACAATCTCATGATAATACTCAAGGTAACGTACAGGTTGTAAGACTGTCAGTATTATAGCAATTACAGCAATAATACTATTATTGTTGCAGTTGGTAATAGTAGAGTTTCTTTATGTTCTGAACAGAAGTAAGAAGAAAGTAATGTGCCCTTTCACCCTAGAGAAAATATAGCTTTAGTATTCCTGTAGTTTGTTTTCCATTTCATGTCAGTACCTACCAGTACCTCCCCAAAATATTCCTTATTCTTGTAGTGTTGCAGAGAGACTCCACTCATTATAAGGTTTTGTATTTACTGAAGATGGAGTGTAAGTTTGTACCTGAATGGTTCAATAAACTGCACATGTATCATTACTTTCAGCATCTTTGAAAGGCTTTCTGGGTGTGATTTTTGTTACTGCCTCTGGTATGTATGGTCCCTTCGCACCTACTGAAGAAGCAGGCTTTTGCCCCTGTTAAATATGTGCCAAAACCGCTGTTCCACAACTCTGGAAGAAATGACTCTAAAACGTGAGAGAATAGGCAGAAGAACTTGAATTTGACAGCAGTGACAGGTAATAAATGATAATTGTTGATATAGTTTAATTTTCCACAAAGTTCCTTAACTTATTTTGCAGTGTCATAATAGAAGGAGATACAGAGTTTGTATGAAACTAGTTATTTGCCATGACAAGAAATGATACAAAATATGACAATGAAACTTCTGAATCCTTTAGCTGTTTAGATTTCCTCCTGAGGTGTAGTCTTATAAGTGTAGATCATTACACTATGTCTTGTCACAGCTGTTGAACTCTCTTATTTTAATAATTTTGTTGATGTTGGTGATGAGAAAGTCTGAAATAGCTCCCATTGAAGTAACTGGAAGCATTTCTTCCAATGGTGGCCTGCACCATACCAGATGGTGCCATGGCTCATGAACTTCAGCAATGAGAAGCTGCTTCTGGTCAGCAAGATGTATCTGTTCCATCAAGTTTTGCAGAGAAATCTGTACAACTCAGTGGACCAGTACGTATCTTCTGGGAGAATACGACAGTAGTAAACTAGCACTAGGGATCACAAAATGCACATCTGGAATAAAGAGAAGTGGTATTAGACTAAAGGAATTTATTGCCAAGAAATAAACTTTATCAATTATGAGATTTTTCCAGTTTTAACTTTTGTATCTCTCTGTTTGGCTATAATTATGAAAGGCAGAAGAAAAGATACTTTGAAAAAGCAAAAGTGAGTAACAACTTTTATCATCAGCAAAATGTTAAAATTTTAGCTACTCTCAACCTCATCAGACTGCTGGATTCCTCCACTAAAATATATACAAAACAATACTTAGGAGGCAAATGAAGGATGTGGTTTCCCATAGAAATTGAACATTCATGAATGACTACTTCTTTTTTTTTTTTTTTTTTTCCCTCCCCTTGAAGATCAGAGAAATTTCAGTCTTATTTTGCTAATCATTCAGGCTAGGCTAATTATATTTGTGGTTTTTCAGTCTCTTTTGCTTGGTAAGTGTTTCCTAGCTTCCACTTTTTTTTATATGATTTGGCACGTGGCAAATATTAATTATATGTAGAATGAGGTGTATTTGCAAAATGCTGTGCATGACGATCCCTTTAATATTGCAGAAAGTTTATTTTGTTCATGTCTCCAATATATACATGCATGTAATTTTGTTAGTATGCCAAATATATGTCCCTGTGCAGTTTGCTGGTGTATGACTGTCTCAAGAGACCCAGACGATTGTTTTCCCTATGCTTAGTTGTACTTGGATTCTCCTATATCATATTTCCTGTGATTCCAGCATTTGTTTCTTAGAGGATAAGTACTGCTGTAAGTAGGAATTTTAAGGCAGGGAAGGGCTTAAAAGTAGCCTTTTGTTTGGTTTGGTGGCCCTTCAGTAACTCTGTTGCTAGGTCTGCTCTAAAATTGTTTAAGGCATGACAAACGTAGAAAATTATCAGGACTAGTGCCGAGTATTGTGCAACTGCTGCTCAAAATCTTATTGAAAAGGATCTCATGTATGTAGAAGTTACACAGTGTATCTTAAATCTTTTCTAAAATGTCTGTTTAGACAGTCTCAAGACTGCAAGATGACTTCTGTTTAAATTAAGATCATGGACATGGGTTAACATGAGTTGAGGAATGTGCTTGAACTTCTCCAGGTGACTTCATCTCAAGCTGAATGGGACTTATTTCTAGGATCTGTTGTGAAGGGAATTGAACGGGTGGTAACTGTCAGTGGATAGGAAATGGTGGGTATCTGGA